AAATTAGACAATATGCTTCTAAATAATACATGAGCCAAAAAAGAATTTACATTGAAAAATAGAAAGTATCTTGAATTGAATAATAATGAAAACCACATATTACATTTTCGTAGGATGCTACCAAAGCGGTGCTTTGAGGAAAACGCGTACCTTTAAATCCTTATCTAAGAAAGGAATGGCATAAAAGCTCTGCCTGCACCCACCTGACTCTGTAACCCACTTGGGAGAACATACAAGCCTCCTCTTTGCTAAAGATTCACAGTCAGGGGTGAGGATGGACGATAATGTTGGTGAATGCTTTTTTTCTTCTGGGACACAGATGAAGTATTAAGGCTTTGGGACAATCAACCCCCCTTTACTTCACTTGTTCCTTCTCCCCAAGCCTCGTGGGGCTCCCCAGAATCTCCCTTATGACCTCTCTTTCTACATAGTGAGGTGCATCACAGGCAGCAAGCCCTCGATAAGTAATAGTGACAACATTGCAATAAAAGTCTTCATAGCTGCTCCTGGCTTAAAAATAAGTTTATGCTCACTGAAAAACAAAGACAAAAGCAGAAGTGTACAATCCACTACTTTCCAGAGATAGGTGTTCCTTCATAGTTTTTTCTGAATATAAACCGACATTCTTTATTTTTTTTAAATAATGAGCTATTTTTTAAAGTTGCTTTAGGTTTACAGAAAAGTTATGAAGAAATACAAGGTTCCCAGACACTCCCGCCCGCTACCACACAGTTTTACTTTACATTTCACAATCCTGTGACAATTTGTTACAATTGTTGAACCAATATTGATATCTAACCTTTTGTTTTGCTTTGTTTTAGCCGATCTGTCATGGAAGAAGTACAATTCCTTAGAGGCAAGGATGGCAAGACTCCCCTTTATATACTTCGGACTTGTCGGGACAGGCCGGTCCCTGGAGAAGGACATTGGACTTGGTAAAGTGGAGGGGCAGCGACGAAGAGGAAGGCCTTCCAAGGCATGGATGGGCACAGTGGCTGCAGCAACGGGCTCAAGCACAGGGACAGGTGTGAGGGGGCCCGGGGCAGGCAGCATTTCATTCTGTTGATCGTAAGGTCGTTGTGGGTCAGAACCAATTCAGTGGCACCTCACAGCCACCACCAGCTACTTTTTAAAATAAACAAAAATGAGATTACCCACTGGATACCGTTGCATGACTGTGCCCCCTCTTCCATTTAGCTGCGAAGGGAATGTACAGATTTCTTTTAAATAGCTTCCCAGCGCTACATGAGGTGGGTGTACCATGAAGTAGTCAGCAGAGTTTGGGGTTGCCTCTCTTTCCCATTACACATCCTTCACATCTCTCTCGGGGTGTCTGCGAGTGCCATGGAGGACAACCCAAGGCAGAGAAGCACTGGGCCAAGGGACGGGCCTGTGAGGCCTGTCACCCACAGTGGCCTTTGCCTTTCTCTCACAAAGGTGGTGTTGGTTTCCATTCCTACCCACGGAGAGTGAGATGCTTGCAGCAAACCCCATCAGAGGGAAAGGCGGGCTGTTGGTTTGCTACAGTTTCCCCAAGACAGAAGAGCTTCAAGGCTCTCTGGTCCTATGAAGAGTCACAGTATTGGAAACCCACAGGGGACAGCTATACCCTGTCCTATAGGGTTACTAACAGTCTGCATTAGTTCGATAGCAGCAAGTTAGTTGTTGTTGTTTAAGAGATTTAGAAAAGTGGCGATTATTACTCAGTCAGTGGGTGGTCGCCACAGGGGCGCTGGCCGCTCCTGGAGCTGTGGACTCACAAGACCCCCAAAAGTGCCGTGTGTGGCTCTTGGAGACTCTGAGCTAGCTCATCCATGGATTGAGCTAAGTCTCAGGCTGTCTTGAAATCCAAGAACAGCTTTGAGAAACAGGAACTCCGAGTTAGTCTCCAAATGCTCAACAAGCAAAACGAGCCCCTCCATGGAGAGAGACCTGACTACCAACCCAGGAAAGGCCATGGTGAGCGTTCCTGTGTGCATTGCTGCACAAGTCTAGACAGGCCATATCATTGCGTCATAATTGGTGAGGTCAAGAACAGAATCTTCTTGAACGTGAGTCTCAGCCTACACAAAAACCGGGCCTGCAGGCAATTATTAAAATGAAGGCCTGCCACACAGGAAGGCATTGTCCCTGCTTTTCAGGTGCTGCCCTGCCAACAGTGCGCTTCCATCAGTCACTCTGCACACCCTCCTCACAGCAAGGCATGCAGGCACTGAGCATGCGGGGTTTCTTCAATCAGACAGCTCTCCAGTATTAGCAAAGAGACCCCCAGAGCCAGGGATTTAACCTTATCACCCTCCCAACAACGAAAGTCAAAGGGCGAAGGGATTATTGAAATGGTTCCATTTGCTTCACAACAAGCAAAAACCACTGATGTCAGAGAAAGCCTGTTTTTTTATCCTAAAGCATCTAGATTACTTTTCCACATGAACCAAATTGGTGGGGAGGCCTGGTGGCTCTGTGCTTCTAGTGCTCGCCTACTAACTCAAAGGTTGGAAGCTCAAATCCACCAGCCCCTTCGAGGGATCAAGAGGCAGCTGTCAGCCTCGGTGAGGAGGACATTCTTTTAAGTCCCACGGGACACTGCTGCCCTGTCCAATCCAATCGGGTCCCTATGAGTCGGACCAGGCAACGACAACAGGCTTGGTTTGGGTGTTTAATCCAATTTGTGGAATTAATCGGATTGCTGCTTCTATTGTCATTTTATAGGTGTGATTTTTGCCACTGATTTCTCCTTGGTCTCAGTGACTTGAGAATTTTAAGTTGGAGGAGACCCGAGTGAAGAGCATTTTCATCCAAAACTTGATCCTTCTGAGGAAAAAATAAAATAAATACATATGTATGTGTGTATACACATTTCCAAACGTTTATGGAAAATTTCCATGATTTTAATTCCTTTCCATAAACTTTTTGAAGCCCCTTCATAGATAAATATACCTACAATATTTGTATATAGATATAGAAAATAGATGCACATATATACACACAATATATGTCATAAATATTTATATGGTATGTGTATATAAATATGTGGAATATATATATACATGTGCGGGAAGCATAAAAGTTTGTGGAAAATTCCATTGCCTTTTAATTCCATTTCCCCCCAAACATTTCTGATGACTCCCCATGTATTTATATATTTGAAAGTGCAGGCCTCTCGTTTTCTGGGTAAATCAGGGGGAGGTTGTGCAGGTGTGTGGAGTATTTGGAGAAACTGAGCCTTAAACTCGCCCCGACTGAACTGTGCATCTGCTACAATTTCTTCCTCCTTTCCAACCCTTTATCCTCTTGACGGCAGACTGGCATCCAAGACCACCTGGGACCACCTGGAGAAAGACCTGCGGAGCTCATTTCTATATATTCTCTCCTTCTGGTAAAATATTTATTGGAACGGTGCTGAGCGAGAAGCCTTCCTCTGGTTCAGAAATCGCTCTCCTGTAAACACAGTGACCTGGGGTGCGGGATGCCACGGGAGATGGGAGAAAAGAAATAAATAGCAGACCCAGATTATGCACGAGCTGCAGCTTCGAGGGGAAATGCAGCGGCGAGCTGGAAGCACCTCCGGGGTGGAACACGAACAAACCTGTGCTCCAAGGGAGATGAAAAATGACGGCGAGAAAAAGGTTCAGCTCCTTGGGCTGCGGACACGGGGCTTGTATTGGCTAATGTTTTTACGGCAATATTGCTTGGAAGGGAAAACTCTTATCCTGGTCTAGATGAACCAACGGGAAATTGTTAGATAGCCGGAAAGAAAAAGGATGCTGATTGTACCCCGCCCCCAACACCTGCCCCAATAAAACAGGGACTGGGAGTGTGTAGGAAGGTTCTAGAAGCAGGGCCACTCACCATTGATAAGACCGTATTTCTGTGCCAAGAGAGCAGCCTGCAGACTTTTCCCGCTGCCCACTGGTCCACAAAGCAGCACTCTCGGGGTGAATGGGGCATTAGAGCGATGGTTGGTTTGGACATAGGTCAGAGCTGCAAAGAGAGGATACAAGGATAACAAAGCCATCCCACATAAAGGAAACCCCATAACTACACCTTTGCTTTCGCTCTTGTCACGGCAGCGATGGCTTCTCTCTTCCCAGCAGCACGGGGTCAAGCTGGGGAAGAAAGGTTCTCTCTTCAGACCTGGTCCCCACGGAGGGGAGAGGGCGACAAAATCCGCACATGGCTTCCCTCTTGACACACCCTGGGGTTCCTCTAAAACACAGGGGTGCCTGTACTTCTGCCAATTTGAATGGGTGCTGGGGGTGGTGTGGTGGAGGGGAGGGGAGAGGGGAGATGGGATGGGGGTTGGTGTAGGGATGGCCCTGGTCCCGGAATGTGAGATGGTACAGTCTGGGGTTGGGATGGCTTCCAGACTGAATGTGAGCGGAGCCTTAAACAGGATGCTGTGTGGACCAGGCAGCTTTCCTGAAGGAGGCCTGCTTTGATATATGTGGCAGGCCGAGCGGGAGCCGGGCACGCAGGGACTTCTAAAGGACTCAGGAGTTGGTGGAGAATAATGTGTGCAGCTGCACCCTGGTGACACCAACTTTGCTGCAAGTCTCCAAAGAGGCGGTGATCAAATAGGTCACTGGAGCGGACAGGTTGAGCCGCTCTGCCCTGGCCTGTGGTGTGGCCCTGGCATTTGATGAACAAAGAGAAGTGGAATGGCAGAGGGGGGAGGCTCCAGCAAGAAGGTTACCCACACAGTGGGGGCGCTGGATGCCAAGAAGTCATGGGAAACAGGGACTGAACATCAAACCAGTCCCCTCCCACCTGGGTGCAAGAACAGGCTGATTAGGCTATAAAAGGGCAGCCATTTGGACAACTGAGCTTGGGGGGTGGGGTGGGGGGAGGGCTGAGCCAGTTTCAGCTTCCCGAAGCCCCAGCCTGCTCACTTCAAAGCAGCCTCCTTTCCCAGGCCTGCCCTGATGCAATGCGAGGGCCCAGACCCTCCTGTATGAGGATGGTGACTCTGTGATACCTTCCTGCCGACTTGCCTCCTAAGGATTCTGTCCTGGGCCAGGGGCTCAGCCCACATGCCCGCCTTCAGAGACTTAGTCGTCCTGGAGCCGTTTACAGGTGTGGCAGGGTGTTTCGACCGCAGCACTATGGATATTTGGGGCCCGATGATTCTCTGGGGTTAGGGGAGAGCTAGCCTGGGCATCACACAGTGCTGAATCCATTAGATACCAAGCACCACACCCCAAGGTTGTGATAACCCCAAATCTCTCTAGATAGGGTCAGAAGTCCCCTGGGTTGTGGGGGGACAAACTGATCCTCCTTGGAGAGGTATTGGGATGCGTTCAGGGTGCCAACATTGAAGGCTGGAATCTCTGTGGGATCTTTAAACCAGATCAGTAGCGATACTAGGACCTCTCCTTCCTAGAACTAGAGTGGAGGGAAGCCAACAGGCTGTCTGAAAGGGGATGATGAGCACCACCAATAGCTCTTTTTCATCCCAAGCTGAACACTCCTCTCTTGGGACGCGTTCAACAATCCCAAGAGAGATGGGCTCTTTTTGCCCCCCATTATAGGGATGAGTGAGCTGGTCATAGTGGTGATGCCTGGGACTATGATCCGAAAGGTCGGCAGTTCAAAACCACCAGCAGCTCCGCTACAGAAAGACGGGGCTTTCTTCTCTCATAAACAGTTACAGCCTCGGAACCTCACGGGGGAAGTTCTACCCTGTCCTACAGAGTCACTGTGAGTCGGCATCCACACGAAGGCCATGATCTGGTTTGGGGGGAACTGCCCTCAGGGTGCTGGCAGGGCTGTGATCTGTGGCAGCTCTCCCCCACCCGTTGTCACACTTCTGCCCAAGGTGGGACACCCAAAGAAGCCACCCAAGCCAAGCTCTGTCCTCTCAGGCCTTCGTAACCCAGTGCATCTGGAAAGCACAAATCCTATCGGCAAAGCAGCCTGCTTACAAATGATGCTTAATTTACAGTAAATAACTAAGTTAATTAGAAGTAATGATCCCCCAGACAGGCTCAACTTCTAATTATTCTTTTTAAAAATGTGTGGTTGCTGGATGTACTGCGGAGAGATTAGGAGCACAACACAGAGAAAATTTTGCATTTCAGTTTTCAATTTCTCTCTCTGCATTATTAATTAATAGTAATTAATATTCAGGCACTCACATTTTTATTTACAATTCGGGGCATGAATTCTTTATGAACGATCATATGAACTTTTAAATTTAATTAAGTAATTTGGAAGTAATTAATGTGTAAATTCAGAACCGTGGCATAAGATAAATGCTGTGGTTGTTTATCTTGTACGAGTGGAGTAGGTTTGCGACTGAAGGCCCTTCTGAGATGCAGAAGCGCTGGTAAGCTGTAAGGCACCACGAGCCTGGCATTTTTAAAAAGTAGCCTTCGTTCCCGGATGCCCATGGTCCAGATGGGCCCCGTCAAAGAGTGCGCCCAGGAGACTCCTGTTTCTGAGCCCTGCGCAGCACCTCCAGCAGCTGAGGTCCAGGGTAAGTGTCTGGCTGGGCTCGAGGCTGGAGTCGAGAGAGCATCAACTCTCTGCTACCAAAATGGGACATCCTGGGCAGGCCACTAGAGAAGGTCAGGAGAAAGGACACTGCGAGGAGCCAAGTGTCTAAAGGATGGGTGGTCGTTCATCTGTTTGTTTGTTTGTTTGTTTGTTTGTTTGTTTGTTAATGCAGTCGAGTTTCTCGCATTTGGGGAAGTCGCAGGGGTCAGCACATCCGCAGTGCAATGGATAAACCTCGCCCTGGGAAAACCACCTTCCTAATCATGGTGTCTCCCCCGCCAGGTAAGTAGCGGTCGTTCACCTGTTTCACTGAGTGCAAACAGACGATGTGCGTCCTGTGCCTGGCACTGCCAGGAAGGGGACCACTGGGGGGGGAGACACGGGAAGCTTAGCAAGACCTTTTACAAATTATACAGCTACTCAAGAAGATGCAAAAAATTATACAGCTACTCAAGAAGATGGTAAAGGCCCACTGTGGAAAAACGGATGAAAGACTTTGGTATACACACACCGTGGAATACGATGCATTGCTAAAGAACAGCAAAGACACTGTGTGAATCACCTCATGACACGGGAGGACTTAGAGGACACTGTGCTGAGTGGAGAAGGCAAACACAAAGGGGCGAGAGCTGTCTGAGAACCTTCTTACTGAGAACATCAAGACGAGACTTTCAGATCCACAGAAACCAGTTCTACCTTACAAATCCGGCTAAGCCAGAGCATGTACACAGGTACAGGTAAGAGCTGGAAACACAGGGAATCCAGGACAAATTAAACCCCTCAGGACCAATATTGAGAGTATTAATACCAGGAGGGTAGAGGGAAGGTCGGGGTAGTAAGGGGGAACTGATCACAATGATCTACATATAACCCCCTCCCAGGGGGTCAGACAACAGAAAAGTGGGTGAAGGGAGACATCAGACAGTGTAAGACATGACAAAATAATAATAATTTATAAATTATCAAGGGTTCATGCAGGAGGGAGGGGGGAAAAAGAGAAGCTGACAGCAAGGGCTCACCTAGGAAGCAAGAGTTTTGAGAATGAGGATGGCAACAAATGTACAAATGTGCTTGACACAATGGATGGATGGATGGATTGTGATAAGAGTTGTGCAAGTCCCCAGTAAAATTATTTTTTTAAAAAGAAAAGAAACCAGTTCAGATAGTTACCAGGGATGCGTGGAGAAGCAGTGGGCCAGAGGGTAAGTGGTGAAGTGGGAGCTAATACACGACAGGGGTGGGGGTGGGAGACAGGGCGGATGGGAAAAGGCGGAGGAGCGATGGGAAACAGAGGAAGCCACAGAGGAAGCCGGGAGGTTTGATACAGTGTTTACAACAGTGAATGCCGAAACAACGATGTCTGTAAAACCACACCCAATTCACAATTTAAAAGAGAAAAATGCTACAGCTCCTTGGGGATAGAAGGATTGCAATTTGCCCTTCCCCTCTGGATATTGAACTATGAAAATAACAGGAACACTTGAGGGTTATTGAGGTCTTTCTCTGAACCAGCACTGGTCTCAGCGCTCTGGGTGCATGACGTGCAGAATCTCAGTTAATCCTCACCTAAACCAGGGACGATTTTTGCTTTCATTTTAAGGATGACAAAATTTAGGCTCAGTGGACTTAGGAGAGTTGCAGCTGGCATGTGGTGAGGGCAGACTTGGACACATATGACTGGACCCTCAAAGTCTTGGCGTTAGCGTCGTCCTTAGAACTGGCTCTCCCTTCTCTCTCATGGTCAGTCCCAAACTCCTTGCTGCCAGGACCCCTGTACTCCATCCCTCACCCTTTCTCCTCCACCCCCTAAACTTTCAAATCTGCCATGGGACCCAAAATCTGTCCACATCTGAGTGGAGAACACGAGCCCAGGGCCTCCATGTGGCCCACTCCCAGGCATCCCTTCAGTGACCCTGAGCAGGGACTCTGGGTGGATGCGGTCCACTGCCACACTGGGTGATGGCCAGGTAAGGAGGGTAGGTGTGTGGGACGCTTGCTCACTGGATACACATCTGGGGAGAGGAGCCCAGAGGGCAGGCAAGTGGAGCTGTCCCTCTGTGTTTACCCTGGTAGAAGACATCCACACAAGGCTGGTCAGAACTGATGACTTTGAGGATTTTGGGGTAAGAGGGGATGATCTTGACAATGTTCCTGTGATAGTCCAGCAGTTTCCGAGCCGTCTCCAGCTCTGAGATGCCCTCCGGTGCCATCAGTCGATTCTGGACCTCAGGTTCTGGGGGCCAGTCAAAGGTGGTGTGATAGATCTCTGTAACGGAGAGAGGGGTGGTCAGAATCACCTCGGGCATGCAGTAGCTTACGCAATTAGGTGGCTGCGTCTGACCTGGGGGCTTGTTGTCCCGGAGGCGAGAGTCTGTGAACTCTAGCCGCCAGAGATCGGCCAGGGTGGCTCACCACAAAAGGATGCAGCTGCCCAACACCAGTGATGCATAGCAAGGGTGCCTCGTAACTATTACAATAACATCATCACCAGGCTGGATGCCAGAGTAATGGAGGCAGCGGTGCATTTGTGAATGCCAGGCTGCTGACCACAAAGTCAGTGTTTCAAAGCGACTAGCTGCTCTGCAGGAGAAAGAGGAAGCTGTCTGTTCCCATAAAGATTTACGGTCTCTGATTGTGATGATGTGCAGACAACTCTTTTAAAACGTGATTTAACCATGGAAGTATATGATATGTGAATCGTATATCAAGAAAACTTCTAAACAACAGAAAAAGAAATCGCACTTGACCAATGGTTACCGCGGATGAAGGAGAAAGCGTTGCTGCTTGGGGGGCTTGAGCTGATGTTAATGGCGATGGAATAATTTAGAAAAGGATATCAATAATGGATGGACAATATGAAGAGTACAGTGGATGGCACTGGATTATACATGTAGAAGTTGTGGAACTGGAGTCTGTTTCGTTGTGTGTATTTTTGCCACAATTAGGGGGAAATAATTACATGAATAACAATGAGTACAAGGAAGAAAAATATGCTCTAGAATTGAATGTGGTCAAAATGGTGCAACTCTTCTCGGTATGGTTGGATTATTGAATGGTATGACATGTGGATGAAGGGTTAATAAAACTGTTTAAAACATAAAAAGAGTTACAGCCTTGGGAACCCTACCTAAGGCTACATGAGTGGAGTGAACTTGTTGGCAGCAGGTGTGGGTCTGGCGGACTCAGAGCTCAGTCTCAGAGCAGTCCTACCATAAGGTAAGGTGTTTGGGTTTTCATCTCCGTGTACTCATGAGAAAACTGAGGCTCAGACACGCTGGACAACGTATCTCAGGTCATCAAGCTAGGAAGACCAGGGCCAGGAAGCCACAAAGCCAGATCTGTCTGTCCCCCACCCCCACACACCCCATCCCACCCCCACCCCAGAGCCTGAGCTCAAGAGGTCAGAAGGGCTCTCCCATACATAATGGACTGCCCTTTCATAGAGGGCCAGTTCAAGGGCACCCCACAGCGCTCGCTCGTCAATTCTCCCAGATAATCTCCATGCCTCGCTCTCTAGCTGCCCGTGTTGGAGCCATGAGCACACATCTCAGAGAACAAGGCGTACACAAGAAGGCAGAGATGGCTTCCCTGGTTCCTAAAGGCCGGAAGCGGGCTCATCAGAAGGTGAGCCAAATCTCAGGTGCCCGAGTATCCTGATCCAAGCCCTGGCCTGGCTCTGCCATGGTGGGGGCACAGCCTCTAACCCTTCATCTGCTGAGTTTTTTTATCCTCTGAGCACCTTTCAGCTCCGAGTCCAGCCTGCTACACTTGAGCCTCAGTCTGCCTGTGTGACCTCCCATGAGCCCTCTTGCTTATTAATGCCTGGAACATAGTAAGTGCTCAGTAGGTGGAAGGTGGCGGTGTCACTGGGATGATCTCAAAGCCCATCAAAGTGAGGCAGGAAGCGATGGCTGCATGCAGGTGACCGTACCGCCAGTTTGAGGGTCGATCCTCTTCCCCCCGTTTCGTTCAATCAGGACCAAGTCTGGTGCGCTCAGCACAACTGGACAGAGGAGAGAAAGAGTGTGTTGAGCAGCAGGTCCCAGACATCAGCATCCCTGGACCTGCCTTATGCTTCTCTTGTGTAACGACATTAAAGCTAGCACCATCCCCGTTCCTGTGAATTCCGACAAGAAAAGGCTTCTTAGCAGGAAAACACAGAGCGCATGATGGTCTCAGGACCGAGGCCGCTCTTCTGTTCTGTGGATTTAGCTTATAGCATGTGCTTACCCTCCCCCAACTGCCCCCACTGCTTTTTCTCGCTTTGCCAAGGGCCCACCAAGCCTTCTTCTTTTTGAAGGATGCCTGGGCTGAAGCTGGGTACTGGGAAGCCAGTAACACAGATCAGAGTGGTCGCGCACTCACTCACTCACTTACTCTCCATGGCTCCCATGGGGCCTGGGGACCAAAGCTCAGGTGGGAGGGCCCCAACAGTGAGGCTACTCACCAACGTGTCTGGGGGTGATCCCAAGGGTCTGTATTAGCAGAACCTGCTCCCGGGTTTCAGGGATACCATCCAGAATCCAGCCCTAGACCGACAATAGGAAAGATGCTCAATTAAAAAAGTATATCTATGCAGGTCAGACCACAGACCCAAACGAGCCACTGTCAGCCTATCTTTTCCCAAGCTGCACATATAAATTTTTTTTTTTTCCCCTAGAGAGAAAAAGACCCCCTCTCTACATACCATTTTGTCATCTTTTCTCTTTCTGTAGCATAACATTTCCTGACCATCTTCCCAGGACACACATTTTTCATCGTTGTCTACCATGCATGAACTGACATGTGCCCGATGGCAGTGAGTCCCCTCTGTCATTGTTGTTAGCTGGACTCCCTGTCTTATTTAAATGGAGGCATACTTGCACATACATTTTGATGCACATCCAGTAGCCCCAAGGGACATCTCCAAAAGTTGAAATGTGGCTTTTTTACAGCTTCCAAGACATCATTTTGCCACATCACTCTATAAAATGGCCCATCCCAGTGGCAGAATGACCATTTGCCTACACTCTTCGCCAATCTTGGAGGGGAAAAAAAAAATCTCTGGAGAAAAACATGATCATTGATTTACATTTCTTTGATTATTGGTACGGACCAATTTTCTTCTTCTTCTTTT